GAGTGCTCACGAAGCCCTGACGAGCAGATTCGAGAAGATGCAGAAGATGATCGATGACCGGAATTTAGAGCATGAGCATCTCTCCGCGTTTCAAAGATGCCATATCTCAATGTCACTTAGGTTTCACACATTCTGTCACATGGTTTCTTAGTTTATGAGATTGGATGGTTTGCTTCCAAACTTCAATCTGCATCTCTGCTACGTGGAGGACATGAACCTTGCCAGCTTCTCCAACATGCATTCTTGGGTGGAAGCTCTGAACAAGCAAATTGAAGAAAGGCTGGCGCTGCTGAACAAGCGTCTTGCACGAACACGAATGCATTTTGTTAGGCTGCTGAAGCTCCTGACCGCCATCACTTCGCAATGGCTCCAAGAATTCAAGAAGTGGCCGCAGAACGGCAACAATCTCATTCAGGCCCTGAGTGCAGTTTGAGCGATCTCAAAGCATAGTTTGCCAGGAGTCAGCAGTGAGTGCAGCTGTTCTGGAGTTGCACATGCAGCCTCTTGCATGCAAATGGCACCTGTGCGTATTTGTTTGAGCTTGCGTGCGCGCAGCGCATGTGTTTGCAAACAAGGACCTCGCAATCTGACATGTCAGGGGTGCGGCTGGTGCCTGGCTGAACATTGCGGGGGATTGCAGTCTCACGCAAGCAGTGCCGTCGCTTGAAAGGTCTTAGAACCTCAAAAGGAGTTCGCAATGACCCACTGGGTGCGACACTTTCATGACAGCCCAACCGACATGTTGGCGTTGCATGCATGCTGGCAGAAGTCACATGGCCAACCATATTTGTGAGGCGTGAAGGCGTGCAATCAATAAGTTGAGATGAAGCTGAGGGGATTTGTTACTGGGGGCAAGCATTCAAAGGGAATAGCATGCAAGGTCTGTTGAGTATGAAACATGTCAGGCCTGGGCATGGTGTGCAACCTGCCCCTTCTGCAAGCAGCGCGATTTGATGCGTTGAAGCCTGCCCGCCAGAATTGCAAACAGAGTCAGACAAAATAGAAGAGCAAAGAGAAAAGAAAAAGAACCAGAACAAAATACTAAGGAAAGAGTAAAGAAAAGCAAAGGACGAGTAAAGTACGAGTGGCACTTTTGTAAAGGAAGAGTAGAAGAGTAGGACAGTTCAAGAAAAGTAAGACACGAGTAAAGAAAGCAAAACGCAAAAGCAAGCAAAGCGCAAAGAAGCAGTAGAAGCAGATTCAAGAAAGAAAGAGACGAGTAAGTACGGGAAACGCAGTCAGGAAAGAGTAAAGAAAGAGCAAGAAAAGAAGAATAAGAAAGGGTCAAGAAAGAGTACGGAGACAGTAGAGAAAGAGGTAAGATAGACTCAAGAAGAAGCAACAAACAAACAGAATAAGAGAAGACATAACTAACAAGAAAATATTGTTGGAGAGACAAATACAGATTCAAGAAAGAACAAACAACGAGTAAACAAACGACAAATGAAACAGTAAGGAAAGAGTAAAGAAAGAGTAAGGAGAGCTCAAAGAACAAGTAAAGAGTAAAGGAAGAGTCAGGAAAGAGTAAAAGGCGCGAAAAAGAAAGACTAAGGAAGGAGTAAACACAGATTCAAGAACGAGTAAAGAAAGCGTAAAGAAAGAGACAGGAAAAAGTAAGGCAAGAGTAAAGAAACTGTAAACACTGATTTAAGAATGAGTAGACACCGAATAAAGCAAGATTAAAGCGAGTGCAAGGAAAGAACAAAGACAGACTAACAGCAGGTTCAAGAAAAACAAAACAAATAGTGCAAAAGAAGGTAAAGGAAGCGTAAGGAAAAAGAAAGAGTACAGCAAGAGCAAACACATATTGAAGAAAGAGTAGAACGCGAGTCAAGAAACCGTAAAGAAAGCGTATTGCAAGAGTATAGAAAGAGTAAAGACAAACTCAAGAAAGAGTAGAACATCGCGCAACCAAAGCAAAAAGGAAGAGCAAGGAAAGAGAAAAGACAGAGTAAGTACAGCTTCAATAATTAGTGAAAGCGAGTAAGGAAAAAGCAAAGAAAGCGTAAGGAAAGAGTGAAGAAAGAGTCAACACAGTTTCAACAAAGAGTAAGTCTCGAGTAAAGAAAGTGTAAGGAGCGAGTAAGGAAAGAGTAAAGACAGTTTGAAAGCAGATTCAAGCAAGAGTAGGGAAAGAGTAAACAAAGAGAAACAAATGAGAAGCAAAAGAGTAAAGCAAGAGTCAAACCGAATTGGGAGAATGTAAACAATGAGTAAAGAAAAGCTCAAGGAAAGAGTAAGAAAGCAAAAATGAGGAGCAAAGAAGCAGCAACAACAAACTCAAGAAACAGTACAGAACGAGTAAAGAAAGAGCCAAGAAGGACAGAGTAAAGAGTACAGGAAGAGTAATATAGATTGAAGAATGCGCAGAAGACGACTAGAGAAAGAGTACATAAGAAAGAAGGAACGAGTGAATGGCAGATTTAAACAAAAGACAAAAGCAACAAAAAAAGAGTAGCTGAAGAAAAAGCAAGAGTGAAGACACAATTACAGGGATAATAGCGAAATAGACACGACAGGGTAAACAAAAGGCAAGTAAAGAGAAAATGTATGATACACACAGAGATAATCATGAATGAAAAAACAGGGAAGAAGGAACTAAGAGCTAAGAACTAAAGAAAGAACGCAGGAGGAGTAAAGAAAGGAAAGAACGACTAAAGAACTTTTAAATAACGAGTAAATACATGACAAAAATAAGAGTAGTTAAGCCGCAAAGAAGGCATAAAGAAAGCAAAGAAGAAGTGGAAGAAAACAAGAAAGCAATAATGAATAAGGAAAAAACACATTTACGAGAGGGAGTGACCAAAGAGTAATGACAGAGTGAAGAAATAGGAAAGAAGGCGTCTTAAGAAACAGTTAAGATGTAACCAAAGAACCGAGACAGAGTAAAGACAGAGTAAAGCAATCAGGAGGAAAGAGTGAAGGAAAGGGTGAAACAGAGTAAAGAAAAGGTAAAGCAGAATGCAACAAGGGTTGAGAAAGAATAAAGATGGAACAACAGATCCAAGAAAGAGTATACAACGAGTCAAGAAAGAGCGAAGCAAGAGTAAATAAAGAGTACAAACAAGGCTAAGAAAGAATAAAGAAGCAGAAACCAATAGTAAAGAACGACTAAAGACAGAGGAAGGAACTCGTGAGCAAAGAGTAAAGAAAGAGTAACAACAGATTCAAGAAAGAGCAAGAAGGAGTAAAGACTGAGTAAAGAAAAAATACAACAAGGGTTAGGAAAGAGTACCAAGCGAGTAAATACCGAGTATACAGAAAAGTACAAATATGGCTGCAACGAATGAAGAAGGAGACACCGTAACCAAAGAGTAAAGAAAGAGAAAAGACACAGAAAGGCCATCACGAAGAAAGAGCACAGATTGATAGCATATCCAAGAACGATGAACAACAAGTCCAAGAAAGAGCAAGCAACGAGTAAAGATAAAATAGCAAAAGCTTCAATAAACAGTAAGCAAGGAGTACAGAAGACAAAGAAGGAGTAAAGAAAAAGTAACAACAGATTCAAGCAAGAGTAAACAACGAGTAAAGAAGGAGTCAACAACGAGATTCGAAGGAGGAAGTAAGAGTAAATATAGAGTAAATATAAATTCGAGAAAGAGTGTCAAGGACGAGTAAAGAAAGATTACACAACGAGTAAACAACGAGGAATTAAAGAGTCAACAACAAGAAGCACCAGATTCAAGAAGGAGCAAACAACTGAAAAAGGAAAGATAAAGGAAGGAAAGAGGAAGGAAAGAGTAACAACAGGTTCAAGCAAGAGTACGTGTAGGCAACGAGTAAAGAATGAGTAAACTCTGAAAAGAAATGGTGAACAACGATACAAGAAGGGGGAAAGAGGAAGGCAGAGCAGAAACAGACTCGAGAAAGAGTGAGCCACGAGTAAAGAAAGAGTAAACAACGAGTAAAAAAAAGGACAGACAGACCAAAGAAAGAGTAACAACAGATTCAGAACAAGTAAGCGTAAGCAAAGAGAAAAGAAAGAGTAGACAACGAGTATTCAGAGGAAAGCAGGAGTAGCAGCAAAGAAAGAGTAACAACGAGTATAGACAGAGGAAAGAAAGAGTAAAGACAGAGTACCATCAGATTCAGAAAGAGAAAACAACGAATAAAGAAGGAGTCACAGTGAGTAAGACAGAGGAAAGACATGGTGAATAAAGAGGAGCAACAGATCCAACAAAGAAAGAGGAAGGAGTGAAGAGAGCGGCGGACCAGTTCTGTTGTTCTTGTTTGGGCCAAGCCAACGGTGCGTCATGAAGGCGCGGAGCACGGGATACTTGCATACCCACTCATCGTCGTCTTATTGCTGCCGCCTCATGATTGCATGGTGAACAGCCTAGTTGTCATGTGGCCGAGGCGCAAATGGATCAGAAAGTCCTGCAGGAGGTCTATGATCAGGCTTGGAGCAAGAACGAAGCCACGTCAGCCTCCCGCTTATCGTGGCCCTTGGCCGCCTTTTCAAGCTTGCGGCTTCAGCAAATTTGTGCAAGTTGTTTCGATGCTTACGTCCAAGCAAAGGAAGGCAGAGCGCAGGTCAAGCTTTGCAGTGTTGAACCCTAGCATCCAACCAAATGCTAAACGGCCACACTTTTGCAGAGTTGCGTGCCTCAGTGGAGAGATATCCTCATGCAGCGGCAACACATGATGCGAGTCAGGTGACCGTCATGTGCGAAACAATGCAGGACTTTCTTCCCGCATTGACACTGCAAGGGATGTACATGTCGTAACATGGAAAGGAGTACGTGTCCAGCTGGATGCAATATCAATCCTTGTGGGAGATCAGTACGAGCGGGGTGCCCGCCTTGGTCACATCATGGCTTTGACCGACTCGAATGTGTGAGCCCTCCAAGGTCCTAAAGCGAGTGGGTGTGCTTCCCCCAGACACTGTGACAAATGGCTCACAACTGACCAGCCTTCCAAGGATGACTTGACACGATGGTACAGCCGCGGGCACAATGGTCTCGATTGAGGCGTGCCATCAAAGCGATGCCTGAGGT